GCAGCAGCAGCAGCAGCAGCAGCAGCAGCAGCGGGGAGCCCACGGGCCAGCGTCCGGGGGCCCCCGAGGGGCCCCCCAGGTACACAGAAATAGAATTTAATCCAAAACATCCTTGTTATAAGAAGTGCAGCGTTTGGAGAAGAGCAGCAGCAAATCCGCAAGACCCTCGTGCTGCAGTGTCTCTACACCTCAGCTGCTGGGTCGGCCAGGCCCTCGTCTCCCGCGAAGAAGCAGCAGCAGAAGTTTTCCTCTTCCTCGTCAAGCAGCAAATGCAAGGCGTCCGTCTGCTGCTGCTGCTGCTGCTGCGGGTGCTGCTGTTGCTGCTGTTTACCGTTTGCTGCTGACGGCCTTTTTTCGCGAATTGATGCTTCAGCTGCTACTTGCTGCTGGGGTTGCTGCTGCAGTCACTGCAGCAGCAGCAGCAGCTGCTGCTGCTGCTGCTGCTTGTGCGCCGGCCTCGGATTTCGCGTGCTTATTCCGCCAGCATTTGCTGCTTGCACCCACCGCCCCTGCTTCCGTGCTGCCGCTCGTGCCCGCTTCGAGCGTCGAGGGTTTAGGGTTTAGGGTTTAGGGTTTAGGGTTTAGGGTTTGGGTGCAGGTGATAGAGGAGGCGTCTGTGGCGGGGATCGAAGCAGCATCTTCCGCGGGCTCTTTTGCTGCTGAAAGCCACGACAGTTTTGTGCGGCGAGGAGACACATTAGTGTTGTCTGTTGCAGGGCCTTTGGAGGGTTTAGAAGAGGTGCTGCGGGCTTTGCTGCTGCCGCTGGCCCCCGCTGCAGCAGCAGCAGCAGCAGCAGCAGCAGCAGCGGGCGTGGACATGTCGGACGCGGCCGTGGCCGCAGCCAACCGCAGGCTTGTTGCGCTGCTGCAGCAAACGCCCCCCCCCGAGCTGCTGCTGACGGAAATGGCTTTGGATCTTCTTGTCTTTCCGCAAAAGTCCAGAGACACTTTGGAAAAGGAACTTCGGAGGGCCCCCATCGACGCCAGACTTGCTGCTGCTTGGCGCGACAACCTCTGGAACAGCCTCGCCGTCCACGCCACCATCGAGGTGCAGCAGCAGCAGCAGCAGCAGCAGCGGCAGCAGCAGCAGCGGCAGCGGCAGCAGCGGCAGCAGCAGCGGCAGCTGCTGCTGCTGCTGCTGCGGCGGCGGCGGCGGTTGCGGCGGCAGCACAGATAGCAGCGGCAGCGGATGGTGCAGCAGCAGCAGCACGTGTAGCGGCAGCAGCAGCGGGAGGTAGCAGCTGAGCCTTACCAGTGCTAGCTAGAGTGGTAGCAGCAGATGTAGCAGCAGAAGTAGATGCAGCAGCAGCAGCAGCAGCAGAATAAGACAGAGGCTCTTTACTACTTCTTTTTTGCTGTTTAGGGCCACCTGCGTTTGGCTGTGCATACCGTATCTGCTGTTGCTGGTTGCTGCTGCTGCTGCTGCTGCTGCTGCTGCTGGGTCTTGTTTGGCAGGGAAATGTCTCGGACGAAGTAGCAGCAAATTTGCTATCTCTTGTTGTCAATACACTGAGGCCTTCCTCGCTTCGTCCTGTTTCTGGTGAGCTCCGCGCGCTGCTGCTGCTGCTGCTGCGGTTGCTGCTGCTGCTGCTGCTGCTGCTGCTGCCGGTGTTCCTGCTGCGGCTTTGACAGCGCATTCTTTGCTGCTGCAGCTACTGCTTCAGACGTGCTTATTGTGCAAGCAGCAATGAGAGCCACAGCAGCAGCTGCTGCTGCTCCCTTGCTGCTGCTTGTGGCGCTGCTGCTGCTGCTGCTGCTGCTGCTCTCTTGATCGCTGTTTGTGTCTGCTGCTTGTGATCACTTCTCCCTGCTGCTTGTCGCCTTGCTGCCCCTTTACGGCTGTGTGCTCAGAGGGTTTAGGGTTTAGGGTTTAGGGTTTAGGGTTTGTGTGGATTGTTTCAGAGACACTGCCGTCGCGCGTGGTGGATATGAGGGGCCTCTCTGTGCTGTTTCCTATTGCTGCTGCTGTTGCTGATTCTGCTGCTGGTGTGGGGCCCCTCTTTGGAAGCAAAGAGAAGCAGCAGCAGCTTCCTCCTGCTGCACTGTACGTACACCCCACCTTCTCGAGGACAGCCTTCAATGCCGTTCGGGTGTACATACAGGTCAGCGAACAAATACAGCAGCAGCAGCAGCAGCAGCAGCAGCTGCTGCTGCTGCTGCCCCTCCTGTTGCCCTTGCTGCTACTGCTGTTGCTGCGCCTGCTGGTGCTACTGACTCGCCTATAGTGCTGCTTGATTTGCTGCTGCAGCAGCGACGCAGTAACTCCTGTTTGCTGCTGTGGCTGCTGCTTAGGCCGCCCATAGACCTCAATATCTTATGGTTCTCTCAGGCCTTCTTGCTTTGCTGCTGCTGCTGCTGCTGCTGCGCGGCTCTAGCTGCAGCAGGTTTGCTGGTGCTGCTCCGGGTTTTCTGTTGCTGCGGGGCTGCGTCTGCCGCTGGAGGCGGTGTGTTGCTGCTGCTGCTGCAGCAGTTTGCTGCTTGCGTGTGGCGTTTGCTGCTGCAGCTGGGCCTGCTGAACAGCTCGATGATATCGGAAGCAGCAGCAGCAGCAGCAGGGGAGTGGTTTGCTGCTGCAGTGAGCGTGCGCATGCAGCAAGAAGACGTGGTGCAGTCTGCATGCAAGCCCCCCTTCTTTGTGTCCATAGGGGGTGTGGGGTACATCTCCTGCACCCTGACCAGCAGCAGCAGCAGCAAACCGCTGCTGCTGTCGCTCGACAAAGCAGCAAAAGCTCTCGCCAGACTTTCTGTTGAAGAAGCTCTTCGAGGAGTTGCACTTTCTGCAGAATGGACTTCCAGCAAAAGAGACACTTTTCCCTGTCTCCTCTACGCTGCATGCAGCGAGAAACTCAACGCTGCGTCAGTCCCCCTGCTGCTGCTGCTACTGCTGCTGCGGCAGCAGCGGCGGTGGCTGCGTTGCGTTGGCGGCCGGACTGGCCCCGCGTTTCTGCTGCTGCTGTTGATTTTGCTGCTGCTGCTGCTGCTGCTCTTGCTGCTGCTGCTGCTTTTCGTCTCGGGAGTACCTCTGAAGGCGTGTGCCGCTGCTGCTGCTGCTCCTGCGGCTCCTGGTGCTGCTGCTGCTGCTTCCCCTGCTGCTGCTGGTGGTGGTGCTGCTGCTAACTCTGGGCGTTGCCGCGCCGCGAGTCGTCGGCCTCACCCGCCGCCGCCGCCGCCGCTGCTGCTGCTGCTGCTGCTGCTGCTGCTGGTGCGCAGGGAGCAGCCACTGCTGGAGGAGGGGATAGCGCTGAGTCTGCATGCGCTGCAGCAAGTGCCGCGTCTGTTTCTGCTGGTGCGGGGCTCGCGGGTCTCCCGCGGGCTGCATGCGCATGCGCATGCACGTTTGGGGCTTTCGGACTCCGCGGGTTTGGGCGAACTCGAGGGTTTCTTTTCCATCAAAGAAACCAACGAGTTCGCCCAAACCCTCAGCAGCCGCGGCTTCTTCTTCAACGCCCTCAGGGTCTACTGACGCATGCATGCATGCATGCATGCATGCATGC